AGACTCATAGTGATAAGGTGGTGGAGGCGATTTAACCGGTGGTGGTGGAGATTCGTAGTGGTATGGTGGTGGTGGTGAAGGAGAAGGGGGTGGTGGTGACTTGTAGACATAAGGTGGTGATGATGACCCATATTCAGCAGAAATTAATCCTCCATTGCCTGCTACAAGCAGAATAGCCAATGCCACCATAAGTTGTGGCCATGGCCGCCCCCTTTTGGGGCCGCAACTTACTTTGTTTAGTAAGATTGGTGTTATATATATATAAATATATATATATATATATATATATATATATATATATATATTAATGTTTAAATAAGACTTTTTTGAAACAATTTAAGTTATTAAAACAAATATTAAAATAATATATATGAGCAAAAATATCTAAAATACTAATTAACAAGAGAAAAAATAGATAATATAATAAGACAAATAATAAAAGTAAATTAATAAAATTTAATAATTAATTAAAAATCTTTTTATAATTATAAATAATGTTTTAATATTGTCATTATAAAACCTCTCTCTCTCCATGGCATGTTTGGGCCCCGCACATCACTATTTGTATTGATGTTGAAATCTGGCAAAAACTATAACAAGAAGATAAGTCAAGAAAATATAAATTTTTAGCTAACAATTTGAACAGATTTTGATTGATTTAAGAATGCAAATGGGGCGGAGCACCCCCTCCCCATCCCTTCCTTGTATATAAAATACCCTACCCCATCCCCAATGGCAGGGTAGGTTCGGGGTAGGTCACCGTTAGGGAATCTCCAAATTTTCCCTACTTTGAGGCAACCAACATCAGTTTTTGTTTTAGAAAATACATAATTTTGATGGTTTCAAAAACATGATCTTTTTTGGAAACAAAACAAGTGAAAACAAAAAGTGTTCACACTGACTAATCATTAACATTGGCAATTTTTCCCATTTCCCGGATTCTATGGTTTGTGGGGACCCACAGTGAACATGTGTGTTGACCAATTTAGTTTCGGTTTTTATAATTAGAAATTCGGTTAACCAATTTAACCAAACTTTCTATTATTATATATAATATATAATAAATGTTATAATTTATATAGAGAGAATTTGGTTTTAACCGAAATAACCAAATTTGGTATCGGTTATTTCAATTTTTCTGTAATTTAGTTTTGGTTTTTATTTTTTAGTTTGGCCTTTAAATTTCAGTTTAGTCGGTTCGATTTTTAACCAAATAAACTGATTGCTCACCCCAGTCCCCACCCTATCTCTATATAAGATCAAGGAAAATTATGTATGGCAACTTTCCCTATAAAACGGGGGCGTTGCCCCACCCTAAATGGGGTAGGTTTTCCCTGATCTTAAACGGGGACAAGGAAAATATCCTTACCTCAAATCGGGAATAGGACAAGGACAAGGTTTGCATATAATTCCTCAAACTTGGTGATAAATTATTAAAACATCCCTAAGTTTAATATTAATTTCTAAATTACCCTTGAATTCTCTTAAATTTCCAAAACACTAGGATCCAATAATCTTGTTTAAGTGATTGCCTTGGGGCAAGGAAAAGTTTGGTATTCCTTGTCTCCAAGAGGAGGGGTGTCTCACCCTGAACCTGCCATCCACCAGGGACAAGGCAAGACGATCTTGGGGATGGAGTAGGGGATTTTGGCTATGAAGTAGGGATGGGGGATGGGGTGCCGTACCCCAAGCTCGTCCCATTGCCATTCCTAGGGAAAATCCACCCTATTTAGGGTGGGGCAAGAAATCGGTTCAATGGAGAAAATTTCCTTCCCTATGATTGATCTAGTTCAGTCTATCAAATCTGCTATATAAACTTTTAGAAAATATGTCTTGAAAATTAATATTAAAAACACTATTAATTAACATGTATTGTTAAAATATTAATTAAGTTTTGAATAAACATTTTTCTATTATATATATATTTTTTAAAAAATTCACTAAAATTTTCTTTATAAATTATGCAAAAATTTAACTACCAATTTTCTACCCTGTGTCTTATAGCTTTGGTGCGGCACGATTAAGTTTTTCAAGTATTGAGTGGTAGATCAAATTGATTAAGTTGCTTCCCCAGCTTTGCCTATAATTTCCTAATTTCCTAGGAGAAAAAGAAACAAGAACAAATGAACCAGGCCTAAAAATCGCGACATATCAAGAACATCAAGTTCATGGGTTTGTTATTTGAATACCTAAAAACCGTCTAACCTGCTAGCTTCAATTATCAATTCTTATTGAGCTAGACTGATCTAGTTTGATCGGTTCAACCGGTTATGCAACTTTGAAAATAAAAAGAGTAAATAAGAGATGTCACTAAAAATAATTTTATTAGTTAGAAAATGTAAAAGAAAAAAAAAAAAACAGAAAAGTAAGGGAAGATAACAGAAACAAAATTATTAACAACTTTGTTAATTAATTGGAAAAAGTGATAAAATAAGGACATTTTTTCTAAAATGGATATTGTTTAATAGATTAAAAGTAACTTAATAAAATAAGAAAAATAGATTCACTAAAAATAACAAATATTGTTTAATAGATTAAAAGTAATATTCTTTGATAAAATATTAAAAATGAAAAATTAATAGAAAATGCAAATAAGGGAAAATTAAAAATCAACAACTTACTTTACTCAATTAACTTATTAATTAAAATAAATTAAATAATAATTAGTTTTATTAACTTACTCTAAAATTAGTAAAATTAATTTGTTTTAATTAAAATTTACATAATTAATAAAAAATTAACATAATTAAAAACAACAAACAATTGCTAACATAAGCAAAAAGTATTTTATAAGTTAAAATTGGTACAAATTAATAAAAATGTAATTTAATTAAAATCAATAAAATATATATATATTTTTTAATTTAACTTAATAAAAAAGCAAATCTCCCTCTCATTAATCCCTTCTAGATTTTTGTTTTTTTAATTTATTAGATCACACATTACTCGATCAAGAATAATGCTAAGATGGATAGCTTGGTCCTATTAGAAATGTCCCAAGACTCCTATCTAAATGTCATTTTGGTCCCCAAACTTTAAAATGCGATAATTCAGTACCCGAACTTTCAAAATGTGACAATCCAGTGCTTGCCACTAACTAGCTGTTAATCAGTCGTTAAGTGACATTTTAAAAAGACATAAATGCCCTTTGAGCGTCATCTCATTTTCTTTATCAACTATCCAAACATTGACAAAAAAAAAATTAATAGTCTCAAATCCTTGCCTCTTTTATTCAAGAAAGTTGGGATCACTAGAATGTCCACTTAAACGTAACCCCAACTTTCTTGAATGGAAGAAGCAAGGATTTTGAGCTATTAATTTTTTTGCCAACGTTTAGATGGTTGATAAAGAAAATCAAATGACACTCAAAGGGCAATTATGTCATTTTCAAATGTCGCTTAACGACAGGTTAACTCCTGATTAATGGCAGGTAGTAGATTGTTACATTTTGAAAGTTCGGGTACTGAATTGTCGCATTTTAAAGTTTGGGGGACCAAAGTGACACTAGGCACAAAGTACAGGGTACTAATCGAAAATTTTCCCTTAATAAAATGTAATAAAGATTAACACACCACTTGGCCCAATTGATATTATCACAAGGCTCTTGTCGCAATTTTTTTTTAGGCTCAGTTTGGAAGGAGTACAAATACAAATATGTACAATGCAAATGCATACAAAATAGTACAAAATACAAGATTTTACACTCTATTAAGCATATCATACAAATCAAAATTTTACAGCAGTTTAGGGTACCCTATCCATGCAAAGGGACCTTAATAGATCCTCGTCGCAGCCACAACTCATACATCACCATGTGGAATGCATCATAGTCTACCGGAAAAGGGTGCCATTTGAAATGCTGCCTCGCTGCTATTACATTCCTTTGTAATGCTGAATACTGGTCGGAGCTTATCCCAGTAAGGATTCTCTTGAGCAAAGGAATATCCAAGGAGGGAACAACGAGTGAGAAGCTCTTCCAATCCAGTATGTCTGTGAAGGGTAGATCATAGTAGTCTGCAATAATCACAGGAACACAACCATAGAACATGGCATCTCCTATACGTGCAGTGTTCACTTCGAAGCCCTTGAGATGGAGGCAGAACTTGCTCCCCAGTAGTGCATCCGAGTATGGAGTCTTGAGGCGTCCAGAGTTGACAAAAATCTCAGAGTCGTCTTTCCATGTTTTCAGAACCTCTTTACGTACCCGTGAATTCATGGCTCCAGCAAAAAAGGCCAGCTTTTTCCTACATTTATTTCTCAAACAAATGGAAGAGAATGAGGAGTTTGTTAATATCAGAGAAATTTGGAAGAAAGGAGTTTACATCAGTACCCCCACAAGGAGGTGCCCCACAACGTCCCATAGCACATCCCAGTCGTGTATTGGGGGGGGGAGGTTAGTCATCAATAAGATGATGTTTGGCATAGATGATGATTTCCTAGAAATCAGCCAAAAATTCGATCATTGAAATCAGTCCCTTTCAGGGATCACCTTTTTTTGGTGATTTCCTTATTTTTAATTAATCCCGATTTTCTGAGGATGATATGAAATTGAATAATAACTTTGATAATACAAAAATAATCGACCCTTGAAAATCAGTACCAAATAGACTAAAAGCCAATTTCTCAAAAATCAGCTTACATGGCATAAATGATACCAAAACAACAATTTTTAAAAAATCACTAATTCCAGAAATTGGTCATTTCTGGATAATCAGCAAAGAGAAATCATCATCAATGCCAAACATCACCTAAAAGAATTTGAGAGATTTTATGGAAAAAGGTTGGGTTGGGTCCAACCTGTTAGACAGTTTTGTATGCCCGTAGCTCCAATCAATTTTGATGTACTTTTGATATTTAATGTAAATAAATAAAGTACATGTTTGATTCATGTTGTGTGGTATGCTTCTGTGTAATACCCTAAAACTGGACACTTAATGAGACTTGTGTTAATTTTAAATGTTCACAGTCGTTGGATAAGTCTGTGGAGATTTATCCTGCCAAGGCTGACACTGGTGTGCTGCCAACTGTTGGGGTGGCTTGTCTCAGCCACCAGGGTGAGACCCAAGGCACACGCAGTGTAGGATTACTTGAACCCTTGAACCGGACCAGATTTCCAGTATTGCCCTGGACCTTGGATATACATGGGCAAAACTGGAAAGTTACACCTGACCCTAAGACCCGATTATGGTGTTGCGCTAGATGTCAGATTGGACTGTCTTTGATATGCCAATCAGTGAGATCCTTAGTCGGGGTCAAAACCTGGGTATGTTGGGACTGTTTGAGAATTCATCTGAGTGGGTGATCATAGTGACGGGATCAGCCCCTTTGTCGGACAAAGGTAATGATCGGGGATGCACCCTCTCTGATGGAAACCAAAGTGCCGGCAGTTGATTTCAATCGTTGGAATTTTGTTTTGAAAAATTTATATATATGATATATATTTATGTACGGTTTCAAAATGTTTGCAAATGGTTTTAATTCCCGAGATCCATGTGAGTAGAGAATGCAGCACTGTTCCTTGCAACCGAGGGAGAGGTCCTCTCTTGTTGGGCAGTGCTTGATCATTATGGGCTGAGAGGTTAAGTGTAAGGCCATTTAAGATAATACCTGATGGGCTAATCTTGCATCTGCCCACAGTCCCCTAGGTTTTTATAAGATGGCTTGGCCCAGGGACCACTTAGTGTAAGTGTTGAACCCATTGGGTCCATGTGATGGGCTCAAGGGGTTTACTGGGTTTTCTAGTGAATTTGGCTAAGCCTTGTAACAAAGGCTGGGCCGAACCCATGTGGCTGATGTGGAGATCAATGCTTGGGTCCCACGCCATATAAAGAAGCCCAACTGGGCAACAGTTTGGAAACTTATTGAGCACTAATTACTTATTGGGCCTAAAAGCCCATTTCGAACTGGGCTGATATGATCACCCACTTAAGGGGGGTGAATCTATAGATAGGATTAACCTCCTTATGAGATCAAGAATGGGCTTATCTAATTTGCAGATAGGATTAAGATTATCCCGTATCCAAATACWGATTTGGATTGGGATAACTCCTAATGAGATTAGGAGGTTTCTTAATCACTAAGAAAGGAGAAAACCCTAACAGAGAATTACAAGAATTCAACGTAGGGTTTTGCAATAACACTCTCTACAATCTAAAATAGGATCTCACTTCCCCTAAGCTGAAAACAACATTCACGCCTTTTTCAGCCTTAGGGATCTCCTCTAACCGCCGCCACCTTGCTGTATAATTCAAACTCCATTGAAGGGAAAATCAAGAAAAATGTTCTTGATATCAGTCTTTACTGAAATGCTGATTTGGTTCGGTGCTCTAAGCCTCCAACGAGTTCTTGTGAAGAGTTCGGTACGTGAGACGTACACTGTTGGTTCTGCTCCACAATCGCTATGCCATCTTCAGCGGGAGCAGATCTTGAATCTTTCTTTGGACGTGAACACCGATGTTGGGAGATTTTGATTCTCCGTATCAGGTATAACCCTTCCCCTGATCTTTGGTTCAGATCTGGTCTGGTTTGGTTCGAGTAGATCCTTGAATATTTGATTCTAAAATAAGGGAATGTGATTCCCAATTGGAAGAAATGTAGGAAATTTTTGAAAATTCGCCCACCCATTCCACAACCTTTTTGGCGTCCATACGATGGATCCTACCATTCTTTCACAACCTAAGACTAATCCAATCTGACTTCACCATTGAGTTCAGTTGGGTTAGATTGGATTTGGGTTGAGGGGTTTAAGTTTTGATTAGGCGTAGGGTTTCAAAACCCAACCTCGGGTTGTGATAGGATTGATCTAAACTGACCTAACCTGGCCCAATTTACACCTCTAAGGCCTTAATTTCAAACAAAGTAGGTTAAATTCAAATATGGGTATATTTGTTAGACAGTTTTGTATGCCCTTAGCTCCAATCACTTTGATGTACTTATGACATTTATTGTAAATGAATAAAGTACATATTTGATTCATGTTCCTGTGGTATGTTTCTGTGTAATAACCTTAAATCGGACACTTACAAAACTTGTATTGGTTTAGAACGTTCACAGCTAGTGGGTCGGTTTGAAGAGACCTATCCTGACAAGGCTAACACTAATGCGCCGTCAAATCGGTTGGGGTGACCTGTCTCTACCACCAGGGTGAGACCCGAGGTACATGCAGTGTAGGATTAATTAAATCTTTGAACCGGACCAGATTTCCAGCATTGCCCAGGACGTTGGAGATTGATGGGCAAAACTGGAAAGTTACACCTGACCCCTAGACTCGATTATGATACTGCACTAAGTGTTGGATTTGACTATCTTTGATATGCTAATCAGTGAGATCCTTAGCGGGGTCAAAACCTAGGTATGTTGAGACAGTCTGAGAAATCATCTAAGTGGGTGATCATAGTGACAGGATCAGCCCCTTTGTCGGATAAAAGCAATGATCGGGGATGCACTCTCTCTGATGGAAACCAAGACTACCGGTAGCCGATTTCAATCGTTGAGATTTGTTTTGCAAAATATATTTTATATGAGATATAAGAGTATATATATATATATTACGGTTTCTAAACGTTTGAAAAATG